CTGTGGGGAGAAGTATTTTATCCAAAGTGATCTTTCTATAAGCACGGTAAAAACACAACCAATGAATAAAACTCTGCTCATGCTGCTGTTTTGAAAAGCTGTCATAGTTTTTATATGTACTCCTGTGTTAAACACATCATGCAATTAGAGCTGTGTAATTTTAATGCAGTAATTATATAGCAATAAGTTTAGCTTGTCTGATTTGCTACAGTAGTTCTCTAAGTGAATATTCTCAGAAAACGACTATATTAGAGATGGTAAATAACTGCCACCAAGAAGCAATAATATTGAAATAACACATGAAGTATTTAAAGTCATACTCTCTACTCTTACTGACACACATACCAGAATTCTGCACAACTGACCCTAACACTGATAGTTTAACTTACTGCAAGTTTATCATTTTTAAGTGAGCTTCATACATGCACAGCAACATTAGCCTGACTGTTAACAGAACTCAGCCTTATTGAAATAAACACCACAAAAATAAAATAATTTTTTAAGGCTTCTAGAACCTATGGTTAGGACTGGAGGTGTGGCTCAGTGATACAGCACTTGTCTATCATGTGTGAGGCCCCAGCATGGCAAAAAAAATGGCATCCTGGTTTACTGATTTCAGTCAACTTGTGCTGCTAGAACAAAATTCCTAAAACTGGGTAATTGATAAATAGAAATTTAAAGCTCAGCATGGTGGTGGATGCCTGTAGTCCCAGCTACTCAGACGGTTGAAGCAGGAGGATGGCTTGAGCTCAGGAGTTCAAGACCAGCCTCAATCTCAAAAAACAAAATAATGGGTGTGGTAGAGCACTTGAGAGGCTGAGGCAGGAGGATCACTGTGGGTTCAAGGCCAGCCTGAACCACATAGCGAGAACCTGTCTGGGAAAAAAAAACAAGTAAAGCAAAACAAATTTATAGGGCCCGCCATATAGCTCTGCGGCACAAGCGCCTGCCTGGCAAGCACAAGGTCCTGAGTTCAATTTTTGGTACCCAAAAAAACCACAAAACAAATTTATGGTTGAAATGTTAAATGAGGAAACAGGAACACAAATCATAAGCTAACAAAATAATTTCAGGCCTAAATCCTTGTAAGAATGTGCTCTGTGATCCTGAGCATGTTACATTAATCCTGTGTTCCCTGGGCTCCACAAACTGTTATTCAAACAGACTGAGACCAATGAATGACAGCCATTTTAGAAATCACTTTGGACAAAAATGAAGTTAGATCACAAGGCCTTTCACTGAGCTAAATCCCTAGGGTCTTTTATTTTTTTATTTTAAGACAGGGTCTTGCAAAGTTGCTACAACATCCCACACCACACACAAATGTAAGTGCCTGTTCAATCTGGGGTCTAAATGTAAAAAATAAAACAGAGAAACTAAAGATGTTTTATCACCAGAGGGTAGGGAAGACTTCACCAGGCAACGTAAAACATGGAAGCCATAAAAGCTGGATGACTTTACTGTACAAAATTTAAAAGTACAGGCTGTGGGTGGTGACACTGTCTGTAATCCCAGTACTCTGGGAGGCTGAGGCAGGAAGATTGCAAGTTTGAGCACAGCTGGGAAACTTAGTAACTTAGTGAGACTGTCTCAAAATAAAAAGAAAGAGTTGGGGATGCATGTCAATGTAAAGTCCCTGACTCTCTCCCAGAAAAAAAATTTTTTTATATGTTTGTTACTATAAAAACTATTCAATATCAAATGATATGACCAGAAGAAAATATTTCAAACATTTTAACAAAAGCTATTATCTAAAATACATAAAAGGGCTCCTACAAAGCTATAAAAATAAATAATCCACTAGGAAAATGGTAATATATATAAACAGATGATACACAAAAGAAAAACAGGGCAAAATATATTCCTTAGACAGGGCATGGTGGCACGTGCCAGTAACCCTAGCTACTTAGGTGACTGAGACAGAAAAGTTTGGAGGGCAGCCTGAGCAACTCAGTGAGACCCTTTCTCAAAATAAAATTGTTAAGCGGGCTGGTGGTGTGGCCCAGTGGGAGACCACTTGCCCAGCGCGCACAATGCCGAGTTTGACCCCCAGCACCGCAAACAGATAGGCACTTATGCCACTGAGCTACATCCCCAGCAAACACTGCAACAAACAAAAACTGAAACAAAATATATAGAAAATGCTCAAGAGAATTGGGAGGAGGAGGAGAGTAAAAAAAGTCTCTTTTATTTCTGTATCCATATTTATTGTTTGTCCTTTGACAAGCATGCAGTACTTTTACTTTGTTGTGTTTTATTTGGCAGCACTGGGGACTTAAACACAGGACCTTCTCACTGAGCTACATCTCTAGCTTCTAAACATTTTTTTAAATTTTAAAACAGGGTCTTGCTAAGTTGCTACCTTGCCCAAGCTGGGCTTGGACTTGCAACCCTCCTGCCTCAGCCTCATCAAATGTAGGGATTATAGGCATGTGCCACTATGCTCAGCTGAATTGAATTTCATAAGGCATTCAGGAATGTGTCACCTCTAACATCTGTTGTGTAATATTCAATTCCTAGATCACCTACCCAGAATTCAAACATTTATCAAATATAGTAATAATCACTGGCCAACTGCAGTTGTGACATTGAAAAAAATAATTTTTTAGGGCAGCGGGGTATGTGGCCCAGAGGCAGATTGCTTGCCTAGCATGTGTAAGGCCCTAGGTTCAATGTGCAGTACTGACTGCATAGATAATAAATAATAGTAAAATATTTTGAAGATCTTTTTATGTTTCCTCAAGCAAAAGAAACTAGTACCTTTGCTCACTGTGGATGGGTCTACTGAGGAGCACCTACTAGGAAGATTCATTTCTGCTTTATCGCTTCACTACAGGATAGCAGACCAGTCTCAGAAAAGACCAAAAACAAAACAGAATTCATCTGTGAAATTCACCCCGGGGTGTGGAACTTGTGAGGAGTAAGGACACTACAGAGGGCTCTGGAGTCAGCAGGGGCTGTCTGAAACTCTGAAAGCAGCACATGGTGTTCAACTTAGAACTTGACAGGGATGTTTCCTGAGTACCTAAAGGGGCTGCTGATTCAGGATAGGGGTTGCAAGAGCAGGTTTATAAAGACTGGTTTGTTTGGGAAGTGGACACCCACTAGAGAATGGAACTTCCATCTGTGTCTTTAAAATAGGCTTAATGCGTGTCAAGGATACAGTTCAGCGGCACAAGTGCCTGCCTGGCAAGTACAAGGTCCTGAGTTCAATTCCCAGCACAAAAAGAAAAAAAAAATGTTAAAATAGACTCAATGCCATTTCCATTGTTGCCCCCCAACTCCCACTTACTCAGGAGACCTTGATCCTGACAACTGCTGTTTTGCTAACCACAGTACTTTTCAGGAACACTGTGCCCAAGGATGGTAAGGGATCTAAGACAATGGTACTATAACACACTTTAGGGCTGAGAGTGTAGCTTGATGGTAGAGCGCTTGCCTAGTGTGTATGTCACCCAGGGTTCTACCCCCAGCTCTGTACATAAAGCAACCAAAAAAATCTGTGTTTAAATCCTAAATTCCAGGGGCTGTGTATATAGCTCAGTGGCATAAGTGCCTGCTTGGCAAGCGCAAGGTCGTGAGTTGGATCCCCAGTACCGCAAAAAAAGAAAAAAAGAAAAATCCTAAATTCCATTTCAAGCTGCGTTATCATGGTCAAGTTACCTACCTGATCTTTGAGTAAAATAAAGACAATATGTTGCAATGAGTAGAAACGACAGATTAAACAATATCTAACCAGAGCATCTTGTGCACAGAAAGCCCTTGCTGAATGCAGTTATGATCCTGACCCTTGACTGGAGTGTGAGGTCGGGGAGAGGATGGGGGACAGGGAAAAAAGTACCTGAAGTATTTTTCCTGTCATTCCACTGGGCCTAGAGAGAAGTCTGGCATTCTAATTTGCTAAAGATGAAATGATTCCATCAATCCATGCAGAATATAAGTGCGTTTGACAGAACAGAGCAAAGCTGGGATTTATATTGTGAGCTATTTAAAAAACTGCTAGGTTAGCAAATTAAACCGGCTGTGAAAATATCCCAGTTTCCATTCACAACAAATACAAGACAAGCCACTCTCCTTTAATGACTGGCCTCATGGCAGCAGTCTACTCTGCATAATTCATTCCTAAGGGCTTCAGAGACATAATTTCCTTAAGACATACTCAAGTTAAACTATTTTCTAGGAAAAAAAGATGAGAGAGAGGAGTTTTCTACAGATTTTCAGTAAGTTCTATGAATCACTGTCCCATTTAATTTAGGAGACTACAGTCTGAATAAAAAATAGTAGTTATGTCAGTACTTTAAGCCAGTCTTAAGTGTTTTTCCTTTCAAAGGGCTATGAAAAACCAGTCTGCTCTACAATATAATTTTGCAAATTTTGTGGCAGAGAGAGAAAAAAATCTCATTGCCACAGAAAGCTACCCAGCAAATGACAAATTTCAAATTTAAACCCAATCACCCTATAAAAAGTCAGAGGACAGATCCTGAATTATTTAAAAAGTTGGCTAAGTAATATTTGTAATTCCCACTCTTTTAGGGTAACAATTTGTTATTTAAACAATGATCAGGAGTGTAAATAACCAAATGGAACTGAATTTTAGGAAGTACTATTCAAATAAATTCAAAGTTGGAATGTGAGGAAGTGTTAATTTAGTTCACTTCATAAAACACGACTAAGAAAAGGATGCACCATTTTCTATTTTCTTTGGAAAACAACCAAACAGAATTAGTTCAATTTGGAAAATCCTGAGTCTTTAAGCCTTTGCTAAAAGCAAAACATAAATTTTGATTAGTCAAGTGTGAAAAACTACAAAGACAATTTTCTTGTCCCTCCAGTTAGTCTGTCTATAAATAGAAGCAATGCATTAACAGCCATCAAAGCAACTAGTGAATTCCACAATATCTCCAATGTACACATCCCCAGCAAACATGCTCGCCGCACAGTGAACCCAAGTGCTTCCAAAGACCTGTGATAGGACCCTCCTTAAATAAACCACCACTCACTGTTTGCTTTCTTCACCAGGAGGTGGAGTCTTGCCATGCCCTTCCATTACAAAATCCTCCTGTTCCACCTGCAAAGGCAAGCACCACAGGTCAACAGCAGTCAGTAACTAAGGTGTGACTCACCCCCAGAGGCCAGGCCCTGCCCTGGGCACACCACTGGGCCATGGCAGTACAGGGCCCAGAACAGAGGCCTCGGCCTACGGTTTGCATTCCCCAGATTTCCTTAAGGTATTTCTCCCATGTGACTACATTTGCAGAATGACAGGAAGCATGTTGCTCTGAAACTCATGTCATGGCGGCAAAGGATTACATGAATAGAAAAGGAGGTCTATGAATCAATGAGAAAAAGAACCTACTAGAAAAATCTGCAAAATAACTGGGTGGGAGTTTCACTGTGAAACATATAGATGGTTTCTAAACATGAAAAGATGCTTAATCTCATGTCAGGAAAATGTAAATTAGAACCGCGAAGAGATACACCATTTTACAACCATCAGGCAGGATGAAATTATAAGGTCCAGCAACCCCAAGTGTGAGCAGAGAAATAAACTTATTTACTCCTAGTGGGAAGGTAAACATTTGAAAATGGACATACAAACTACTAAATGCATTTGAAGAATATATATATATATATATATATATATATATTTATATATATCTTTTGTGATACTAGGGGTTGAACCCAAGGCCTTCACACAGAGCTACATCCCCAGCACACTTTTTTTTTTTTTTTTGAGATTTTATTTCAAGATAGGGTCTCAATAAGTCACTAAACTGCTCAGGTTGAGCTTAAAGTTACAATCCTTCTGCCTCAGCCTCCCAGAGTGCTGAGATTATAGCCATGCACTACTATACTTAGTAGGAATATTTTTGTTTTTCCAGTACTGAGGATTGATTCTAGCACCTTTGCACTAAGTTACACCTCCAACCTTTTTTAATTTTTTGAGATGGGGTCTCGCTAAGTTAAATTTCTCGGGCTGGGCTTAAAGTTTTGATTCTCTTGCCTCAGCTTCCCAGAGTGTTGAGATTAAAGCATATGCCACATGCCTGCCTAAGCAGTTTTATCTTTAACAGAAAAAATACAGAAACAAATATCCATCAACAGTAAACAGACAAACAGGCAATGACATTTTCAGATAATATTACTACCCTGCATGAAAACAAATGAGTTACTTATACACTTCTGCCTACAGGAGTTCTAGGCAGTGGCACACTCCTGTAATCCCAGCACTTGGGAGGCTGAGGCAGGAAGACTGCTGTGAGTTTGAGGCCAGCCTGGAATACAAAGGAAGAGGAAAGAAAGAAGACGGGGAGGAAAGGGGCGAGGGACAGAGAAAGAGGACGGGGTGGGGAGGGAGGGGGGAGGAAAGAAGAGAGGGAGGAGGGTAACTTAGGAGATCCTGTCTTTACATTTTAAAATGAGGCCACTGAAGATGTAGTTCAATGTATAAGCCCTAGATTAATTCTTCAGCACTACCAAAAGAAAGATAAAAATAATTCTGCAACTGTCTTTGAAGGCTGAATAGCAGTTTGTCCCAAATACAGTTTGAAGAAGCTATAAAAGTTTAGCTCCTTTGCCTACAAGTCCTCTCTTTGCCTCTGTCTCATCCACCCATTGTGAAACCCTTGGTGCCACATGCACCATGCTCATCAGCCTTCCGGAACTTTACCTATACAGCTGCCCCTCGGCATCCATGGAGAAAGGGTTTAGATCTCCCCCTACACTGCCGTGGATAACAAGCTCTTCAGATGCTTAGGTCCCTTTTGTAGCATAGCATTTGCATGTAATCTACACACATTCTGACATATTTATTCATTCACTCACTCATTTATTCATTCATTCATTCTGGTATGTGAGACTGAATTAATTGTGGTATGTGGCTTTTGCAATTAGCTATATCCCTAGCCCTTTTAAAAATTTAAGACAGGGTCTTGCTAAGTTGCTTAAATTGCCAGGCTGGGCTTGAACTTTCAGTCCTCCTGCCTTAGCATCTCAGAATGCTGGGTTTACAGGTGTGCACTACCACACTCAGCTCTCACATATACTTAAAATCATCTCTAGATTACCTATAAATCTAATACAATACAAACACTCTCTAATTAACTATTGTTTAAGGAATACAGCAGGAAAAAAGTCTGTACATATTTCCAATTTGAGATCTCAAATATTTCCAATCCATTATTAATTGAATTGGTAGACTCTGAACCCAAGGATATAGAGCTGACTGTACTGTTCTCTCTTGCCAAGATGTCTTGTGTGCCCCCTCATTTCCATCCTACATATACTCAAATGCCTACACTTTTAAGTGCTAATTCTAATACTTTTCCCAGAGGACACCATCTCCCTTTCAAAGGTTCAGACCTTTACCTACTCTCTACCAACTCAAAAGCCAATAAAAAATCGCCCAGAAAGCTGGATGTGGTGGTACATGCCTGTAATTCCAGCACTCAGGAGGCTGAGGCAGGAGAATCATTGTGAGTTCAAGGCCAGCCTGGGCTACAAAGTGAGCTCAAGG